CCTCAGAGCTTCAGAAAACCTGTTTGTCTCGAGCTCCGAGTCCTGCGTGACTCGGCTGCAGCAGGTCAGCGACTCGGCTGCAGCAGGTCAGCGACTCGGCTGCAGCAGGTCAGTGACTCGGCTGCAGCAGGTGCTGTCTGCTCGCCCGGTGCGTCACTGCCTCTCCTCGGGGAGACGTGTTTTCCTCCCTGCGGACGCTCCTCTCTCTGAAGTCACCCACGCAGAGAAACCACGGCTCTGGCGCGGATTGAACCGGAAAAAAGCGAGTCGGTGAGCAGAGCGACCGCCTGACCTAACCTCTGGTAAAAAGAAAAGAAAAAAAGGGGCGGATTAAAGAAAAACTGTGATGCCAATTCACGAAACCGTCTACGCAAGAAAAGAGACGTACGTGTGTAAACATTCGCTGTAACCATGGCGACCGGTTGCTGCTGATCTCGCGGACCACGCAGATCTCGCGGATCTCGTTTAGCGCCGCCTCCCGGAAGCGGCGCGCAATGGTTTGTGGGATTGTTTGGGGGCAAACAAAAGAAAAGTAAGCGATAGGTTCTAAATGTCTAAAGTTCTGATTGACTGATTGATTACATGATTGATTATTTTGCGTCAGCAGTTTTTGTTCAGTTTAAAGTGGATCTTTGTGGTCCTGGCTTTGGTTTGCAAAACTTCAGTTACAGGGAAAAAAAAAGGATTAAATGTGCCTGAGGTTAAGAAGATAAAAGAAAAAAAATACTCAAGAAGACCAAAGCAGAATAATCAGTTTATTTATAATAAATACAACTAAAATACAAAGTTGTTTCAATAGGGGCACCAATTTGTTTAGTCAAGTAGAACATATAATCTATTTTTGTTTGGTTTCTTGTTTGGTTTGAAAACATAAATAACTAGACATGGGTTTTTACCATGTAAAAACAAGTGTGCATTGCCTTGTAGCATGKCWTTGCCTGCAGCAGTGGACTTGCAGAATGAATTGTGACCAAGTTTAAACGTGTTTTCTACCAACTTGTGCTTGTCACGTCAGCAGGTGTCTGTAATGAGCATAATTGTGTAACAATATGAAGTTTGTAGAGATTTTTTGTTAAAGTTACTGTAGCTGGGTTTTGAACCCTGATCTCCCACATGAAAGCCCACAGAGTTAACTATGAGACCATTGGAGCTGTGRCAGAGGGCACTGCCAGGGTTTGGTTTGTATGTGTGCAGAAAGAGGCCACATCGCCAATGCAATTGTTGACACTAAACTGCAATATATTACAACAATAGAGCAATATTAGGACAATATTATAGTAAAACATCAAAATACAATCATATTAGTATTGTAACCACTGAACTATTGAGATCAAATATTATTAAACTATGGTTCAGTACTGAGTAGATACAGCAGGGGGCAGCATTGGACCAATACAAGGCTCCGATGACTCCCATTACAAATTATTAAACATGAATATTTCAAAACCTATAAGTTGTACAGGCACCAAAAGGCATAGCCATCATTTGGCACAGGAGCTTTACAGATATAAATTACAATGGCAGCTCTAGGACAAAGTACGCAGGAGGAGAAGCGTGGCAAAGTTGAGATGACTTGGATGGGAAAYGAATCACAATAGTGTGCATTGGCCATGCACACCGAATAGAAAACTTCAGCTTTCAACCTGCACAAGTTCTGGTAAGTATATGTATGAATTATATTAGTAGAAATAGATGGTTATTCTGCTGCTTGTTCAAAGTATGTAAAATTTCCTCTTTAAATAAAAATAATAATAATAATTTAATACTCTATGAAATGTTGTGAGATTATTAGTTTGCTTAGGAAAATGTTGTACATGTTGAGTTTACCTCTTTTAAAGAGATTTCTTTCTCTAAAACTAAGATGTTGCCTTTAAAGTGACTTAAGATTGATACATATTTAGATATTTTATGACATGAATCAGTAACACTGAGCTGAACTGACATTTATCAAATGACAGGATAAAGTCTGGCCTGTTTGACATCAATAAAATCAACATTTTAACTTCCTGGAGACACATTAGAAAGCTTTATGTCGCTCTCCTGTGTGTCTGAAAGGCCAGTAAAGTGGTGACATGATTCATAGACCGTCTGATTTCTATGTTGACTGTGAACACTGTCCCCCCGTCCTCCTTCAGAGACGCCACTGTTTGCTGTGACCTGACTGGACCATGGGAAAGCAGAGTCCTGTGTTCAGACACCTTCAGCTTCTGGCTCCCAGGGTACGAAATGTGCCATGGTGGTTTGGTCGAACAGCGTCAGTGAAGCTCGGAGGTGTGTACACGTCTTTGAGTTGTTGCTACAGCAGATTATAGCACAGCTTCTTATGGGCAGTTTAAACTTTTATCATCGTTCAACATTTAATAATTCATAAAAACGTTCAGCTCATTTAGAAGATGGATGCTGAGTTATCGTTTGTCCAACTTTTGTACTTTTCTTAATAATAAACTTTATTTATATATTTTCCCCATAGAAATAAATGGAGATTATTTTAATTTATTTAAAAATCAGACTTGAATGAAATCTGCTTCAGCTGCTGACTCTGTTTGTCTTCTTATCCTGGTTTTAGCATTATACCAATCTGCTAGCTTCTAGCTGGCATTAGTTACTTTTAGCTCATGTTTTGCTATTTTTAGCTCTTTCTTAGCCTCCTGATACTTTGAGCAAGCCTTTTACCACTTTGTTACTTTTAGCTTCTTGCTAATTGCTTTATTTTAGCTTCTACCAAGCTAACCTTTTGCCACTTTTAGCTAAAGTTCAGTTACTTTATGTGTCTGTCTAGAATTTGCTAATTTTAACTTTTGATTTATTTTATTTTAACTTCTTAGCCTCTTCATACTTTTAGCAAGCCTTTTGCTAGTTGTAACATTTTAGCTACAGTTCTGTAACTTTTAGCTTCTAGCTAGCATTTGATACTTAACTCCTGATTTGCATTAATTTGCTCCTTATTGTCTYTTGATGCATTTACCTACATCTTGCTAAACATTTGCTATTTTTAACTTCTTGATATGTCTAGTTAGCCTTTTGTTGCTTTTAACTAATGTTTTATGTTAATCTCCTGTTTAGCCTCTGGATACTTTTTAGCTAGCATTTTGCTACATTTAGCTTTTAGGTACCATTTTGCTAGTTTTTGCTTCCAGCTAGAATTTACTACTTTAACTCCTGATTTGCAGTTTTTAGCTCTTTTTTAGCCTCTTGGTGAATTTATAAAGCCTTTTGCTACTTTTAGCTTCTAGCTAGTCATTTTGATACTTGTAGCTCCTGTTTTTATATTTTTAGCTTCTACGTTGCCTCTTAATACATCTTGCTAACTTTTTGATATTTTAGCTCCTGTTTTGCTATTTTTAGCTTATTTTTAACTTCTTGATACATTTTGCTGCATTTAGCTCATATCTCTGCAGTTTTAATCATCTTTTTAGCCTCTGGATACTGTTAGCTAACCGTTTGCTTCTTATAGCTTTTAGTTTAGCTTAAAACTTTTGTTATTGTTTTTAAATAACAGTAGACAACTACTGTAAAGACCTTCTGTTACTTTTAGCTTCTAGCTAGCCTTTTGCTACTGTTAGCTCCTGTTATGGTAGTTTTACTTTCTACTTAGCTGTTAGCTACTAACTCCTAGATAGTGATCTGCTTCTTTTAGCTCACAGTCCTGCTGTTTATTGCTTCCGAACTTTACTTTTACAAAAATATTTATATTTATGCCAAACTATATGGAGCTTTTTTGGGGCCATTAGCTTTGTTCAAAATAAAAATATTTTGAAACTGAAAATTATTTAGAAACTGAAAAATACAGATTTGAAACTCTCTCTCTCTCTATATATATATATATATATATAT